AATTATTGATGTGTTAGCATCACATTAGTTGTAGAAAACACAACATCGCTCAACAAAATCTCATATTAACGTGATGCTAGCACATCAATAGTCACAATAATCGAGACTTTAACACTTTGCATACATAATATTACCGAAATTGAGTGTGGGCAAATTGTAATACAATCCAACAACACGAATTTAACGTAGCATGAAGTTGTAAGGTTAAGATTGATCTTAAATGAGTTGACAAAATTAGGCTTTTAGTGTATCTAAGAAACGGTTTATGTTAGAGAATTAACTTAACAATATTTATTTTTAAATCAACATAATTTGTTTCAATAAGCTAACATAATAAATCTATTTAAATTAATTAAATTATTGACATTTGTATAACAAATTTGATAGGATTAAATNGCTTAACCATTCAAAGTGCTGTTGGATTACTTTATTTAAAGAAAAAAAAAAACTGATATGTTAAACACGAACGTTATCATCATTAGTTTTAGGCTCTGTTTTAAAAATCGGACTGGATGGATCGGTCCAACTGGTTGGACTGGGACCTAGGGCCTTCTCCAGGTCGGTTCACTCTTTTTAACTACTTAAAGTTTAAAATATAATAAACACACTCTTGATTATTCCATCAATCTCTGAGGGTTTCAAATCTAGCAAACACACCCTCTGGCTAAATGCAAATCGGCAATAACCTCCCCTTTTCCAGCAACCTTCCACCTTCCCTTACTGTCGGAAACCACCTTCTGAGTTTTGACTTTCTCCGGTGCTGTCATGCTTCATCTTCAGCCATCGCGTGATGTTTTGTCGTCCACCTTCGTCGTGAGATTTTTTTTCCATTTCCTGACATCGATTGGCTTTCTTCGGCATCGACAGACTTCCTCAGCCATCGATCTACCTTCTCCCAAGCTCCCTTGCCGTCGTTCACGAAGATCCAGTCATCTCACCAAAAAAAGCAACCGCAACTAGTGACTTTACCACCGATTTGCCATTTTTCGACGATGCCTCTACTTGCTAGTTGCCGATTCGCCCTCCCCATCATTCGATCTACCCTCCCTGGTGTGTCGCCGCTGCTCTCCCAATCGATCGTCGATTTGCATTTGGCCAGGGTTATGTTTGCTAGATTTCAAACCTTTAGGGTCTGAAGGTAATTATTAAGGGTGTTTTTGTTAGATTTTAAACTTATCAAACCATCGGTTCAACCGGCGGTCCAATCGGTTGGACCGGTTGAACCGTGACCCAGCCATCAGAGCGGTTTACCCTCCGGTCCGGTTTTTAAAACAATGGTTTTAAGAAATAGGATTTGTATAATTAATATATAATTTGTAACATTATTCTTTCAATATAATCCGTTTATAATAAAACAACAATTAACGATTTTACAAATCTGCCCATATCTAACCGGGGCAACCTGGTGTCCTTGTCTTGGCAAATTGGTTTATCTCTTCAGTCCTTCGTCAACTCCACAGGAAGACTTGACCTGAGCTCGAGTTTTTGGGTTTTATCCAGGTAGGGTCTTACTATATCCGGACTTTTGGGCTACTAGGGAATTATTTCATTGGGTTTTCAGATGTTTAGCGTTTTTGTATTAAGAGGAGAGGGCAATTAATTATCGTAATGTTCGTCACAAGAACAATGTACTATTTTAATGCTCATCACAAGGACGGGAAATGAGCCCTTAAGATGTGATCGAATACGACGAATAATAGTAAAAGGTACATGCTGGTCCTTATTTGCAGAAAAATTGACATTCCCATCCTAGGGTTACAAAACCCTATATAAAAGCGCAATCTTGCAAGCACAAACACTTCTTAACCTCCGCAAAGAAAAACCCTAGCGGCCACAGATCAAGCAGGAGGCTTTTCTTATCACTTCAATCTCCAACCATGGTAACATCTCCTACATATTCTGTGTATATGTGTTTCAGTTTGTCTTTTCTAACTTTGTTTGATTTGTATTTGTAAAGGCGAATGTCGATACTGAGGTGGCGGTTGCAGGGCAGCCAAAGAAGAGAACGTTTAAGAAGTTCTCCTTCAGAGGAGTGGATTTGGACGCTCTTCTTGACATGTCCACTGATGAGCTCGTCAAGCTCTTCACTGCTCGTGCTCGCAGAAGGTACTTCGTACTTCACATTTACATTAATTTAATTCATATTTGTTTATAGTCTAGACTAATGGTTCTGATTTTGGTTTTATTTAATATTATTTTTGCTTGTGTTTAGGTTTCAGAGGGGTTTAAAGCGGAAACCCATGGCTTTGATTAAGAAGCTTCGCAAGGCGGTAATAATATTTACTCTGTAGTTTTTTCGTTTGGGTTTTGTATTTGGTGATTGATGCTTGAATAGTATGTTGCGATGGTTTTGTTTACAAGTTCTGGAGAATTTATGTGATTGTTGACTCTCTGAAAATGATTGGTTTATTATAATAGCTGAACTCTTGTACAGTATGTTTTTAGTCGGGTGGTGTTTACTTAAAATATTGTGAATTTATTAAAGGAGTGCTTTCTAGTCTTGGCTCTCATTTCGGTGAATGGTGATTGTTTACTCGTTCTAAATAGTGAAACATTTAGTGTATTCCTTGGAAGAGATTATCTGTATTTGCTTATAACTTTCTTGTTTGCCTGTGAACTTCTTGTAATTGTTCTTGGTAATAAATTTGCAAAAGATTAGGTTTGTGGCAAGTGCTTTCATTTCTTGCATCTGTGTTACTGAGTTGTCAACATTATTGTGAAGCTGTTATGTGGAAGATATTATCTTTATTCCTTAGAAGATTTAGATTTGATGTTGGATTTTGAACTAGTGTCAAAATCTGTTGTCAAATATGTTATTTCATGATTCCATGTCTCATTATTTGACCATTAGAATTCGGATTGTTGTAAGTAGCAGTTTGCTGTTGGGGTTTATCTTTTATCAATATTGTTTTGTCAGGTTCTGACTGGTTCTTACTATAGTCACAGAATTGTTCTTTTTCATGAATTTCAAAATACACCTCAGCTTTACTATGCTCAGGTTCTTTTAACTGTTCCTTTCAAAAAGACTGATCAAGGTGAAATATTCACATGATATTGGTGTTGCAATATGGAATTATCCTATTGACTGGAAGAATTTGTTGATGGCTTGATAAATGCTATGTATGGTTGCTAATATATTTTTTCTTTTATTTTCTTCTATATGCTTATTGATGTGATGGTATTATTTTATGATTTTGTAGTGTTCTTTTGTGTAATCAAACCTATATATGTAGGATAGGATATGGATGTCAAAATTTAGTAGTATTATGATATCCTTATTAGATTATTTTCTATTCATTGTTACACTAAATGGAATTAGTCTTCGGGTTCTGATTAATACTTGATGTTTTGGACCAGAAAAGGGAGGCTCCACCTGGTGAGAAGCCTGAGCCAGTTCGCACTCACCTCCGCAACATGATTATTGTGCCAGAGATGATTGGAAGCATTATTGGTGTTTACAATGGCAAGACCTTTAATCAGGTTGAAATCAAGCCAGAAATGATTGGGCATTACCTGGCTGAATTTTCTATTTCATACAAGCCTGTGAAGCACGGTAGACCTGGTATTGGTGCTACCCATTCTTCAAGGTTCATTCCTCTGAAGTGAGATATATGCCAGTTACCTGGATACTTAGTTTATTGTTTTTATCTGGAAAGACATCTGTGTTGATCAAATTTTTGTTTGTGCCCCTTTCAACTTCTGGACAACATATTAATGTTTGATTTGTTAATTTAGATGATGGAACTTCAGAATCTAGTTTAAAGGAGCTGGTTTGTTTTATGGTTTCTTCACATTCTATGGTAGAATAAGTTTCTGGTTTTTCAACACCATTGGTTAAATGTAATAGTTATGCATGTCTCTGTTTTTCTTCGGTAGCTGCGTTCTGCTCCTTTCCCTGTTGACGGATGGTAGCTTGCAGACTGAATTTTTGTGCTGCTCGTTTCCCTTTGAATTAATGTAGCTTCCTTAGTGAATTATGGTCGACTATGCAGAAGGCAGCACTTTTTATTTGGTATTCCTTTATCATCGTAAAAATTGGAGCCAGTTCAGTACTTCAGTGAAACGAGGAGGATGATTATATTCTGTGTTTCATTTTATTTAAGTAAAATATCTAAATTAGAACAATTCTACTCATGGGGCCTAACTGTTTTCGGCTTTCGAATGATGGTTGATGGGGCAAGCAATCTGTGAATCTGTGTTTTTTGGGGTTTTATCCAGGTAGGGTCTTACTATATCCGGACTTTTGGGCTACTAGGGAATTATTTCATTGGGTTTTCAGATGTTTAGGCGTTTTTGTATTAAGAGGAGAGGAGCAATTAAGTATCGTAATGTCTTCGTCACAAGAACAATGTACTATTTTAATGCTCATCACAAGGACGGGAAATGAGCCCTTAAGATGTGATCGAATACGACGAATTATAGTAAAACGTACATGCTTAACCAGTTAACCATTCAAAGTGCTGTTGGATTACTTTATTTAAAGAAAAAAAAAAAAAACTTGTATGTTAAACACGGAGGTTATCATCATCAGTTTTAGGAAATAGGATTTATATAATTAATATATAATTTGTAACATTATTCTTTCAATATAATCCGTTTATAATAAAACAACAATTAAGAATTTTACAAATCTAACCTAGATATGGGGCTGGGAACAATTGATAGTGAACTCACTTTCAAACTTGAGTACCTGGGCAACCTGGTGTCCTTGTCTTGGCAAATTGGTTTATCTCTTCAGTCCTTCGTCAACTCCACAGGAAGACTTGACCTGAGTTCGAGTTCACACTGGGCCTAAATTGTCCGGGTAATCGCCATCGCCCCAACATATATATAGTTTATCTTGAAAGATTTTCTTTGATACGGGTTTATTTACAATAATAATTATAGTAAGTTTGGTACATGTACGTTAAGGTTGATGGCTAATTTACACGTAAGCTAGTTTAGACACTCTAATAATTAAAAAAAAAAAAAATACAGCACAATGACATGGACACAAATGCTAATTTAAACATATAATCGTTGTATTAGTCAATTTAAAGTAGTATGTATTGAAATTAATCACGTTTTACACGACGAACACACATTCTAACACGTGCACGTATATATATATATATATATATAAAGCCTGGGTAACTTGTATTGTAATTGGCTTATTTCTTTTTCTAGCCTCTTTCTCTTCTTGTTTGGCTTTCGAAACTTCCTGGCAATGGAATAAGAAGTTCCTGCTCTACTTCTATTAGTGCTCTCTGAACAGCCTTCTTCAACTCTTCATCTCCCATCTGCAATTTTCATTCTTATAAATTAATTAAATCTAAATATATAACAACTACTTGATCTCTAGTAAAAGAGGTACCATCTACAGTTTTAATCCCGTACCTGAGATTCAGCATGTATTACCGCTGTCAGTTTCTGATCAGAAAATTCTGATTGAATATTTCTGATTCTTGAACCCGTCTTTTTCAAGGATTTAAGAGCCTCGACCATATAATCAATCCCAGATATTGGATTAGTTACTCTTATTCCAATCTTTGTTCCCTCATTAGTATCCTTTCCCAGCTTCGCTTCTAGCTCATTGTTTCTCCTCTCAAGTTCCACCTTATAACATTCCAGCTCCCGGATTCTCATCGCCGCCATTTGAACAGTCGAGTTCTTGTCAATCTGATATTAACAAAACATGCCCATTAGCGTATTACATAAGTTTCAGAGATAGTTAAAACAAAGAAAATGTTAAATAACACAACTTTACTCATTTCAATGAATATACAGTTTTTTTTTAATCATGTGTATTGATGTGTCACGTTTAAGAGCAGCCTTAAATATTCACTAACCCTGGTGCCAGTTGACAACATGGAACGCAAGGCGAAGTAATTCTGCTTCTCCCTTTCTCTCCTCATCCTCTCGTTAATCATATGCAGGTGACCCCGTTCTCTGTCTGGTTTAAGTGGTTCCTTTTTTGCAGACTGATTAATTCTCCTCAAGAATTCTATCATTCTCTTGTTGGCACTCCAAGATTTAGACCCGTTACCAATACTCGCTGACCCAACTTCAATTCTGGGTCCGTTAGCATACGGCATAAAAGCGCTTCGATGCACAGGAAGAGACTCAGAGTTAAACCAGAATATATCGCCGTCGCCATAGAATTGTTCTTGAAAGAAATTTTCCATTTAGTTGTCTCTGTTTACTCTGGGAATCTCGAATTTGTCTGGGTTCCAGTGGCTATATATAATAGAGCAGTCTTCTTTTAAGACATATTTAACACGTGGGTCAAATCGTTCAGGTTTCTCACACGGTCGCGGCGATTTCTCCTTACTCCTAAGTCCTAAGTCAGAGACGACTGACTAGTAAACAAATATTGCCAATGGTTTTGTTCGTACAGTCACGCGACAAGATTGGTCATGGTGAATTAGAAATATTTCCGTCTTCCAAGTGGGCCCCTAATTATGTCCGTGTGATTCAAATTCTACGGTTCATGGTACCAATAGTGTGCTAGAAAACTGTGATTGTTTGCTGTTAATTAAAGTTGACGTCTGCCCATTTGATCTAGAAAGTACCTCTTTAAATTAGTATTTGTGTTTGGGCAGAGTTATTTTTAAATTAAGATGATTTTCATCTGCTAACATAAAAAACGGTAGCAGTTTTTCCTAAACAATGACAAGAGTTACATAATTTATCTATACAATAACGAAGGGCCAGCCAAAATCAGGTTATACATTGAGATCTACTGATTTAATACAGTATGTTTGATGATCGGTTCCTTTCCATTGTCTACTAAAAGTTGTTGACTTCTTTCCCTAAGTTGTTGGTTTTGATTCAGACTCATTGGTTAGAGCATATGCTTCTTCATCTTCAGAATCTACAGGTTCAGTTTCTGATTCCTGATCTTGTTCATGATAAGGGAAGTTTGTTTCTGTGTGGAGATTGTGAATTGAGTTATCACTTTCATATTCACCATCATTTCCACTGTCATATGTCTCTAAATATGCATCATCTCCTTCTTGCTGTAATGGCACACAAGGATGAAATAAGATGTGAGACCAGATGATTAAATAAATAAGCAGTAGCGAATGATCTAGAAGGTAAACTGAAAGCAGACCTCAATGTCATCATCGTCAGTGGCATAAGCAGAATCTAATCTGTCATACAACTCCACATCTCCCCGGTCTTTCACGGTGTTCATTTGTTCCTATCAATGCCAAGCAAGAGACGAAAAAATTTAGTTTAAAAGAAGGCACTATCATACCTTCATATTTACAACAACTAGGTTATATATAGCAAAAGCTAAAATGTGTAAGCCTTACAATTTCGAATCTTAGTTTCCCTACATTCGTCTCCAGAAGGGAAAGATGCTTTAGAAGAGCCTGTTCAAAAAATACATGAGAAAAATCAGACAAGGTTAGAGGTATCTGAAAATATTGGAAGTGATTAAAGCAAGATCCATGTTTAATTGGGCCAACATAAACGTTTATACACCACCATCACCGCACAACATTGGTTGGCGTTGGCAGGCTCATTCCAGCACACACACCCAAGTTCAGCCTGAGGGTGCTCACTACAGAAAGGGGCAGTGGAAACCCCCTTTTATGGCCCAGATCAGGCCCTTACCTGGGAGTTTCCTGATCAGCAACAAGAAAATTGTCCTCACTAGTGAACATTTGGGACTACCTAGTGTATTTTCTCAGATGCACATGGAACATTCTATCCAGTTATGTATGTACAAATGCGGTAATTTTAGATTAGTGCTATATAATTTTTGTAAGATACCTCATGTCTTTGGAGTTCAATTGAACGTGCCAAAGCTTTCCTCTTTGTCAAAAGATTTCTTGGCCTCAATTTGGAAGGCCGCTTATAGTCCTTTCCCCTGAATACAATTATAGCATAACCTTTGGAGATTTTGTCCACTGAAACCAAGACACCCCCACTTTCAGCTTCAAGTGCTAATGCAACTTTTTTAACCTGATCAAAAGTTTTCACCTTCACAATAATTTTAACCAATTCTCGATATTTCCAGTGCAAGTGCATATTCTCCACTGTACCATCAAAAACTCCACGCCTACCTGAACAAGAAATCAAAATCCCATAAAATCTCATATTTGAAATAAACATGTAAAATATGGCAGTTGAAGAGATTGTTTACCCAAAAGTAAGAAAGCCTTCATCCTCAAACCAAGCTTGCGAAACATAAATCTCTCCTCATCAGTTATGCTCTCAGGATCTGCTTGTCTTTCTGTTGGTTTTAAAAACTCCTCCACTTTCGATAAGGCTCGTTCAGCTTTCATTAGCTTTCGTTCAGCCTGAAAAAAGAAAAAAAATCCAGGTTACTTCCCCAAAATTCGTCCACCTTTTCACAGCAACCAAAACCCGAAGGCCAAATTATGGAGATTACGCTAAAGGATACACATGATTGTGTGATGTGCTATGCTATCAATAAATGTATAATATCTTATTTTATCACATTACATTACAAAAGTTAGATTCGAAGAATCTGCAAAGCAATGCAAAACAGTAACGTTGATTAGAAACCATATGAGTGTTGTAGAATAAAAAAGTTTTCCCAATAACATAGAAACTGAACAATACTGCATCAGATCATAGCAGGAATTCCCAATTTTCAGGAACTCACAATAGCAAGCTTTCTTTCCAGTTTTCTGACGAGGCTGGCATGTCTCATTATTTCAGCTTCTCTCATCACATTTTCCTTATGATTGTCATCCAGCATCCTTCCCCATCTAGCATTTGCATCCAAAGTTTCCCCAAGGGTGCCTGCAGTACCTGATTGCTCACTTACTTCAGCACTTGGCAAGACAAAGGCTGATGCTCTTAACCGAGCTTGCTCTTCTTCATCTTGCAGAGACTTAGCCAGCCTCTCCCTTTCCAATAATGCTTCAGTGACATCTGGTGATAAAAAATCTTTTCCCCGATAGAAAACCAGAAAATCCTTGTTTCTTGAGAGCAATTTGCCACCCGTCAATTTCTGCAGCCAATACCCAATGTTTTTATACAGCATCTTAGAGTTGATAAAGATGGCTTATTGCATTGATCAAATATAAACAGATAAATTCCAGTTACTGTATACAGATGAAGTCAACAACATTTAATTCTCTCTAAAAATATTACCTTGATATCTTCAGCCATTCTCTCACTCGTAGTGAGCTGTACACCACGTTTAAGAGCAATCTTGGCAATTGAACTTTTTTCCCATAATTTAATCACGGCCACAGCCAAACCTTGGAGCTGCCTGCTTCGACCTGAAGATAGGAAAATTTAAATGTAATTGAAAGACCATCTTCAGAAGCATATGAGCTTATCCAAGATATGTGGCATACCTAAGGCAAAGTGTGGAGGAAGAACACGGGCAAGCCTTTGCAAATTTGTTGCCTCTTTTCGTCCAACAGTAGATCTCACCCCATAAGGAAGCACTCTGAATGGAGGTTGGTAATCAGTAACTATACCAGGAAGCATATCTGCATCCACAGGATATGGTTCACATCCCTGCCAATCTGTATACCTGGGACCCAGACCCTCTAATAGCTTGTCTACTTCATCTTCATACTTTACTTCTGGCACTGATTCCCTATCTTGCTCCTCAGTAGTCATTTCCAGGTTTGTTTCAGGTGAATGCACAATATTATAAGAGCCAAATGTGGAAGGATCTTGAGCAGGAACATCAGTAGCTTTTGATAAGGAATAACTAGATCTATCATTTCTCTTATATATCTGTTTATCAGGAGCTCTTGCTAAGGAGCTTGCAGGTAGTTCATTTCTCCTATACATCCGTTTGTTCAGTTGCACAGAAGGAACCTCATAACTCACACCTCTGTACAAAGAAACAGCAGTGCCAGATCTCCATATCACCAACCCACCAGTTTTTCTCTAAGGAATAAAGACAATAGGAAAAACACAAGCATCAGTAGAACCAAATAATTGGTTAATGCAGATTAAAATTCTAGCAATCAATCAATTTGAAGAACTTATGTTTTCTTCTCCATTTTGGTATAAATGACAGATGGACAAGTTAGCAGCTTGCCTCAGGTGACGGAAACTACTGTATAATCTTTCCAAAGTATTGTTTGTCAGTATGCTCTATATTAGCTCCATTCTTTTTGATATTCAAGATGCCTCAACTTAATTCGGGAAAGTACACTGAAGAATGAAAAATTCGACATATCAAAGAAGGTTGTGCTTTGAAGTTATATTGAGGTCTGTACAATAGGAGTCAAAGCATTTTGAAGGACAAGGCTGCCTCTTCATGTATAGGCAGAGAGACACTTGTTCTTTTATGGCTACCAGGTTCTCTACATTTGCCGAATACAATGAGGCTCCTTTATTGAACCCTCATGACAACTTAAACTCTTTGATTTATCCTTTGAGATTCAGAACATATGTTTCAGTTCAAAGTTTCCATGTACAAACTAATCTGCTCTATTTTGTTTCTTTTACCTTCTTTAAATATACAGAAATCTCATCACCAAACATAAACAAACAAATTATGAATATCTAGAAAAATAAAAAAAAAGAAATCACAAAATCAAATAAACATAATTTAGATAACAAAGTCCAAAAGAACAAACCTCCAATATCTCATGCATCCTCTTCATATTAAGTGCAGGGGCCCCTTCTATTTTCAACCTCACAATCTCTGCTGTCTTCCACTTCTCGTGAACTACATCAACTATAGCCTGAGTAACACCAGCACCCCCAATCATTGTCTTGCTCTTTGTCTGAAATGTCAAATTCCTCAACCTCCTCAACTCAGACTCCGGGATAGTCAACTCTGCCAGTGAAGTCCTACTTTTCCTCCTTACTGACAATTTCTCATCCTCTACCTTCTCCTTTGGCTTCTCCCATGGAAACCTCACCTTTCCATCACTATCCACCACCTCTCCTAACCCCAATGGTGATTCTTTCGAAAACCCTCCTCGTGTATTCGGCAACATTCCTTCTTCCACATAAAATATGTCCTCTATAGATCCTTTTTCAATCACTCTCTCTTGTTCTTTCACTCCCTTCTCATTGTCATCACAATCATCTATGTACCCAAATTTTTTCAATTTCTCTACAATCTTACCCATTGTACTACCACCACCATCCTCAACAACACTGCTATTACCATCCCTTCTACTTCTCGAATAGCCTAAACTTGGCAAACTTACATTATTCTTTCTATAATTCAACGCAGCCCGAGGCGGTTTTGGGCGATTATCTTTATTGGATTTCTTCCACTTATCTAACCAATCGCCAGATTCCCCACTAGAACATAAACTTACATCATTATGATTGGTATTGGAGAAAGAACAAAATTTCCTTGGTGGGTTCCGTTGAGGGGCAGCATCTGAAGATAAATTATGATAAAAGGAGTGATTTTTGATAGGAATAGAGTGAGCGTACCTGAAGAAGTTGAGGTGGGTGCCGTGGAATCTTGAGAAGGAGTTTTGAAAGGAATCGAAAATGGTGGGTGTCGGGTAGAACTGGCGACTGGGTACTAAAGCCATGTGATAAGAAAGAGATGAAGTGAAAGTGAAGTAGGCATCAATTGCTCGTCTTTGATGCAAGAAGTTGAAGAAGTTTAGAAAGTTTTAAGAGAGGTTTGTTGCTCTCTTCATTGTTATCTGTGGCGGGCAATATTATCTCAAGTTCTCAACCTCATTTAGCTTTACAGAAAAAAAAAAAAAAAAAAAGGGGTACATAATGGAGAAACCTCTTAAATTAATTTAGTAATTTTTTAATTAATTGTGTGTGTGAAATTTTAAAATACTCTTTTTTGTCTAAATTTTATATTTATATATCAAAATATGTTTTAGTTTTCTCTAAGTTTAATATTTTCTTTTAAATTATGCATTTCAAATATAAATTTTTATATGTTTTTAATTTTTTTTTTAATGAAAAACTATCTTTTGTAGTATTTTTGTTATTTTAATAATACTCTATTTTTCAATTTTGTTTTATATGTATGAACATAAATAAAAAATGATAGTATTAGTATCATACGATTTCTGATATATATCATACGATACGATTCAATACAGATCGCCAACGATACATATTAGAGAGTGTATTTTAAACCTTTCGATACATTGATATGTATCCTATGATATGATACGTATCCGTTCGTATCCTTAAAAATATCGATACAAATCGATATGACTTTATTAATTTGGGCCAAAAGCCTAAAAAAATTCGGATCAAAACCAGGTCACCCAACTCGGTTCACTAAACCCGCTCAAATTTACCCATTTTGCATGGAAAAAGTGAAGAGGAACATGTGTTGCCCATTTTGCATGATAATAATAATACAAGTGGAGACATAGATATTGACATTGATCTTAGAAATGATATGAATGGTTGAGAGAAAATAATATAGATTCTTAATTTTGTGATTAATTTTAATTATGTAATACCATAATTTAAAACTAATAATATCGTAAAATTCTTTAATTAATTTTGAGGGTGATATTAATTTTTAGAAAATTTTGATTATTGATTTATTTATTATTTTATTAATTTTTTGATAAAAATGTATCCACCGTACGCCATACATGATTCAAAAAGTACAACTATCCAGTTCTTAATGCTAAATTGGTGTGGTTAATGTGGAATGTTTTAAAATACAATTTCTCCTGCTGAGGTTTTATTAAAATAACAAATTTTTTTTCTCAATAATTTTTAACTTGATTTATCTTTTTATATAATTATCTTATGAGACCGTGGTTATTAGTATCCTACAATACGAGATACGTATCCTATGATATGATTCGATACGGGTCACCAATGATACATATCAGAGAGTGTATTGTAAACCTTTGATACGTTGATATGTATCTTACAATACGATACGTATCCGTTTGTATCCTTAAAAATATCGATATAAATCAATACGACTTTATTAATTTGAGCCAAAGGTCAAAAAAAAATTTCAAGTCGAATTCGGGTCACCCAACCCGGTTCACTAAAACTTACCTAAATTTACTTATTTTGCATAGAGAAAGTGAAAATGAAGATGTGTTACCCATTTTTCATGATAATAATAACACAAGTGAAGTTATAAATATTGACATTAATCTTGAAAATAATACGAATAGTAGAAGAAACGATATAAATTCTTAATTTTGTGATTAATTTTAATTGTATAATACCATCATTTAAAGCCAATAATACCACAAAATTTATTAATTAATCATAAGAATGATATTAATTTTTAAAAAAATTATATTATTTTATTAATTTTAAAAAAAAAGACGTATCATGATATAATACGCGATATACGATTTAAAAAATTAGGTTTTTGATATACAATACGATATATGATTTGACAGACATGAGACATTAATCTACAATTAGGAATTATTTTAAAGTTTATTTATTTTATTCCCTGCTCAGTTAAAAACCAGAAATAACCGTCGAAAGATATCATATGAAGACAAAACTCTACATGCAAGAATGCATTTTTGTTAAATGTGATCTAAGACACGTAGAGAAAAGGAAATGAAGAGTCAGTAACGCTTCCTTTCATTCTTTTGGATCCACCGCAGATGTCTCTCAAAAACCCCCACTCTGCTCACCCTTCTTCTCTGCGGTAGCTGCTTCAAGTTTTCAGGTTCATCTTACACGTGACGTCATCGCATCAACGGAACCAAAGATCTCATCTCTACTCCATTCCCGTTGGATAAATAGTACACTTTCTTCCAATTTTCCTCTGTGAATACCTCCCTGCTTACGAGTCTTTGTCTGCCAGAGAAAGAAAACAAAAAAAGAAGCACAAAGCTGAATATTTCCCAACTATACATCTACAGTGGAAAATTGAATATCTAAAAAGAAGCTAAACAAAGAGAGATGATAATAACCCTTTTATGTAAATCTGAAATCTAGAAAGTCCCTTAAACATACCTAAGGTAGTAATGGCAAACAGTTGCTGCTTCATCAACATTGTAGCGAGGCAAATTAAAACGGGCATCCACCGGAACATCTGGTAAGTCTTTGCGAAGCTTTCCCACAGCAGTTGAGTGAGAGAAAGCACCTACCATCATTTCATCATGCATCATAGACCTAAATGCATTCACCTGTCAAGAACAGAGATGACAAGTTAAATGTCATTGATTGGACAAAAATGCATCTAGGACAGCAAAACAAGAAACAAAGGCAACCATCTCATCTAAAGATGTTTTGAATAACCATAAGCTCATAAAATTGAAAAAAATAATAATTAAATTTAATACAGTTTACCATATACAAAAAAATATTATGAACCTAAACATAAAAATTTAAGAAAAAGAAAAGTTGGTACTAACCATTGTCAATTCTCTAGAATGCACTGGTCGACAAGAACGAATAGTGACTGGCTCTTCATATTCACTGAATGTAAACCAGTTGTTATACTGCATATAGGTAACAGCAACAAATTCATTCAATAGATACAGAAAGCCATAACCAACTGATAGAGATATCATAGTGGAAAAAGAAAATTGACTAAAATTTAGGCTGCGAAATATGGAGCCGGTGCTCACTTGATCAATTGCAATAAGAACAGGGATATCTTTCACAAGTGATAACTCTTTCCTTAAACGAACAACCGCACTAACAGCCGCATGTGTTTGCTGAATTCCCATTTGAACCAGATCATATAGAGTTGAACCTTCGGGGATTTCCTTGGAGTCAACCCCTTTCATATATCCAATGCCAGCACCCTCTCCCAGTGGAATAGGATCAAGTATTTGGCATGGCAATTCTCTTAAGCGGGATTCATTGTATTTNTACAGGAACTCTTGGCTGCAGTGTCTGATAGTACAACTTCAACAGTAGAATGGGCATTGGCGGAACTCCTGAAGAATCCGGAAGCCATGAATAAGATTCGCGAAGAGCTTGCACAAGGAGTCTCAGAAGATTTTGTAACAGAGGAAAATCTAGCCAACCTTCCTTACTTGTATGCATGCGTCAAGGAAACTTTGAGATTACACCCTCCAGCGCCGCTTCTGCTTCCACACAGAGCGATCGAAGATTGTGAGGTGATGAAATACACCATTCCTAAGGACTCTCAGGTTTTCGTGAACGTATGGGCAATTGCAAGAGACCCTACCATTTGGGAAAAGCCTTTGAGTTTTAAACCAGAGAGGTTCCTGAATTCTAGTTTGGATTACAAAGGCTATGATTTTCAGTACCTGCCGTTTGGTAGTGGAAGGAAAATTTGTGCAGGAATGCCGATGGCTATAAGGCAGGTTCAGTTGGGTTTGGCATCTTTAATTCATCACTTCGAGTGGTCTCTTCCAGATACAATGAAACCTCAGAAGCTAGACATGAATGAAAAATTCGGAGTGACATTGTTAAAGCTGCAACCTCTTGTTGTAATATCGAAAGCAAGGAAATGATTCGGCTTGTTTTTCAGCCTAGTCCAAAATATGAAAATAATAATAGAGAAAATGTTGATTTTGTTTATCAACATTGATTGTGTTTTTGGTGTGTTTTCAATTTAGAGCTGCAGTTTTGGCTGCAGGTGTTGTGCTAGCTGTTGTTTTATTCGCTTTGTTGGGGAATCTGGTAGACATGTCAATTCCTTGATTCCTCTGACAATATTTACAGGCTCTTGTGTCATACATGCTTAATAAAGTTTTCTTTTAACCTTTTGTAATTTATAAGCAAAAATTTCTCTTATATATTAACGATAAAGAATCAGGCTGAAGCCATTGTTCTTAGAATAGTAGATATTAGCTTTAGTTTAATTGACAACATCATCTCTTACGAGTGTAGAAAAATATATGTGAAAATCAAGTCTCCTTTAACTCCATAATTGTATATATGTATACATCTTAACAACAAATGTATATAATAAAGATAATATCAAGAAAACTTATATAATATTATCTTGTTATATCACCATATTAACATGATGAGAGTTCAATTGAATTGAGCTTTATAAATAATAGTTCAACCTTTTTTTTCCACTTTTTTTTTTTTTTCCCTTTATGACCAGAGGTGTCCCAGACCTTGGAACTATCGGTCAAATAAGAGCTCCAGTGACTACCCCTATTAGCAATTGAGGAGTAACTCGAACTTGTAACCTCATGAATAATATATATAAGAGTCTCTATCGAATCACTCGACCATCCAGAGCCCATGAGGTAGTTGAGAACTCAACTTTTATGTATATAGGAAAACTAAGTCATAGTTGTTTGGATTCAAAAGTTTTTAACAAGTTGCATTGAAACTGTTCAATAGTCAACGGAAACACAACCAATTAGTGATATAAAATATATTGGTGAGGAGTGCAGAATTTCGAGGATTTATTTTTCATTACGTTATTCAAATAATAATATATTGTGAGTATTGACAGTATTCTTCAACATAAGGAGCGAATTTAGGAATTTGTCAAGTAAACAAAAATTTATAAAATAAAATATTCTTCCCAATTGAGTTTTTGGTTCAATCTTCCAGTGATTCAGATCGAATGAATCCCACGATTCAAGTAATTAATTGAAAAGCTGTCTACCACAGCCTTAGTTTGGGCCAAATTTGTTCCCTTCATTAGAAAGCCCCGCGGTCTAATTGACTTTTTTTTTTTTTTTTTGACACCATACCTTAACGCTACTTCCTATTTCTTTATAATCAAATGTGCTAGTAATTTCAAATCCATTAAGTTTCCAAAAAGTCTCTTCAATTTACAGGTTAAGGTGCGGCAGGTTTATGGAATATTATATTACTGGAAAATATATTAAATTACTAAGAATGTTTAAGAAAATATATTTAGTTAGGTTGGAATAAATTTGTGGGTATATTATATTTATATGTTTGGTTATGAGGAATAAATTGGTGGGCATATTATATAGATTACTAAATATTTTACATTGTTTTTTTAACCCATTATATTTGTTAATTTAACTAAATATCCCTACAATAAAAGTTTAAAATTAACTAAAACACCCTAATCACGGAAGAGGATAGCCGGTCACCATCGCTAGACGGCAACCAACAATCGTCAGAACAGCGTACAACCAGCTAGGTCTTTTCCTGTGCTGATATGACTGTTTCCTGTTAACTATTTGATATTTAGCTGTCGTTAAAGACCAAAATCAGATTTTGACAATTTTTGTTAAGCTTTGGTTCCAATAATGTTTTATTACCAAAAAAAAAATAATAATAAATACCGATGAGACAGATAACCTTGAAGATTAATGGGTGTGGACTGTATAAATAATTAATGTATTTGGTTAATCGTAATTACAAAAAATACTTAGATATTGTTTTATTGAAATACCTTACAAAATTATTATTATTATTATAATTATTATTATTATATAGGGTATTTTTGTCTAAATAATTAATTAAAAAGGTTAAAGAAGTCATTCAATAGGTTGGGTCAACTGTTATTTGACATTCAAAGGAGGGCATTTGTGTCCAAAAATTTTATTAAGTGAGGGTAAAATTGGAACAAAAATAGGATTAGCACGATAATGATTGGATTGAAAAATGGATTACTGGAGTAATCTTCTTAGGCCTTACCCATAAGCAGCTTTAAATTGATACTAAACATTTGGACTGATTTGATAATATCATCTTAATAATAAATAATGAGAAAAGTAATATATAATTTGAAAATAGATTTGTTACGATGATGCTAATATTGATTGAGATATAAAGATTAAAAACCAGTTTAATTGAATTTAGAGTTTTGCTTGTCACACGGTTTTGATGGAGTAAAATTATGTAATTGAGTGGCTGTTGATCATTAGCTAAATATCTGGTTGTTTTTTATTAAATCTATAGTAGATTTGGTTGAAAAATGTCAAATTAACACATGATCGGTTAGATCTAGTCAATCGTATACCATTTCGATGAGTTTCGGTTATCATCCTACAGTGGTGGTCGACTGTCAACAATAGTTAGATGAGTGGAGGTATTTTTTTTATTTATAAATTTTTATTGTAAGAGATGTTTAGTTAAATTTACAAATGTGAGGATTTAAAAATAATCTAAATATTTTTAAAATATATACTAAACACTTTCTTATAATTCTATTCTATTTAATTAAATGTTATTCAGAATAAAATATTATCCTTAAAACTTGAACAAACAAACAAACGGAGCATGATGATTCATGTAATTATCTCTTAAACTTTATAGGAATGAATTTTCCAGCAACTTACCAAACGTTCAAGGAATTCTATTCAATTTAATTAAATGTTATTCAGAATAAAATATTATCCTAAAAACTTAAACAAACAAACAAATAAACGGAGCATGATGATTCATGTAATTATCTCTTAAACTTTATAGAAATGAATTTTCCAGCTACTTACCAAACGTTCAAGGAATTCTATTCAATTTAATTAAATGTTATTCAGAATAAAATATTATCCTAAAAACTTAAACAAACAAACAAACAAATGGAGCATGATGATTCATGTAATTATCTCTTAAACTTTATAGAAATGAATTTTCCAGCTACTTACCAAACGTTCAAGGAATTCTATTCAATTTAATTAAATGTTATTCAGAATAAAATATTATCCTAAAAACTTAAACAAACAAACAAACAAATGGAGCATGATGATTCATGTAATTATCTCTTAAACTCTATAGGAATGAATTTTCCAGCTACTTAGCAAACGTTCAAACGCTTGTAGACTCCCACTATTTTTCTTTCAATTTAAGATGACAACAAAAAGTAACAGGGACCAGAAAATGGTTTTTTTAATGATATTATGTAGTACAACACAATCTTTTCCACATGTATATGCTAAGAGATTGGAGGAACAAATCATATCTTTACAGCAGTGCTGGTTCGGCTAGAGAGTCGTGTTTCACAAGGTCAGCATAATAGCTGACGTGTATCCAGCTATAATTAGCGTTCATTTCAAGGCTTATACGAACACGGTTATCCAATTAGGCACGTTAGGTGCATATCGATATTAGCCGTCCATCTAATACCTACTTTTTAATCGTGTCCATCCGTTCCATTCAATATCCTATATATTAATCTGTTCTGCCCTTCCTCAATCTCCATTAACTTATTCTGCACAGCGTTTTCCTCTCCTACGTCTCTCCTTTTCTTCTCTTTGATCCAGATCTCTTTCTATTCGCTTTTCATCCATGTCCTCTTCCTCAGGATCTGTTAGATCGCTACACGATCTATCTATTGATACCAGATATAGCCTCGGTATTTCCTGAAGGTTTGTGTCTGTGGAAGCTAGTATTGTTCTTCCGTGATTTATTTTGTGATCTTTATAAGCGTATTATTATTGTTCTATTGATTTATTTTGTGATGAAATTATTCTTTCCATAGGTTTATAATCAGCCTCGGTTTTATGGATGATTATGCACCTCTTGATCTCCTGAGCCTTCGATTCAGGTAACTTAATTATTTTTTTATATATTAGGTTTGCAGTTTAATTCTTGTTTAATTTTTGTGGATTATGTGTTTTTACGACTGGTTGATTGTAGTTGTGCAGTCTGATGTTTGATTAATTTGTTGTGGATTATATGTTTTTATGATTGGTTGATTGCGGCAGATCTTTGATCTTAAATTGGGAGATATGGTTGAGAGGATGAGAGGCTGTTGAAGAGCAATATGANATATATATATATATATATATTATTGACTTATATCTTTAAAGGTAAGGTAACTTAAATCTTATTAGATGTGTTGATGCTTGATTATGACACTAATGACTTGTACCTGTAAAGTACTAAGCTGCTCTTAGAAATTACATGTGAATGATTCATGAGAAGTGTTTATGGTATTGAGATTATATATGTTTGATGAAACATAAATAATAGATTGACTAGAGAGATTTTAATAGTGATTCGGATGTTTAAAGCGATTCCTACATCCACTGTTATTTTATTATTTTCTAGCTATTTTTCTGATATTGCCTATAAGGTGTACAAAAATAGAGAAATGCTTTGCTTACAGGGAAAAAATAATAAAGCTCAAATGTTTGTCTAGCTCTCATATGCCTAGCCAACATCTTTTTCATGAAGAAAAGTGCCCATTTATACCTTTGAGGTCAATGTAATGAGTGTTTTTGCAAGTTGTCTTGACACGTGGGGACTACTTCTTAATCTTTATCTTAAAATGGAATAGGATTGATATAAAATATCTCTTGGAGGCGGTTTGAGTTTTTGACAGCTAATACCACTTTATTTTTAAGTGCTTGTTGAACTCTGATTGGTGGTGCTGACATTAGTGTGTATATTTGGCACAACAAAACCCCCCCAATTTTTGGAGTGCGTAATTGCACTTTAAAAACTCATGTCTTAGATCCAAATGGCTATCGCACTATAGGTTGTAGTCTCGAATTGAAGAGCTCAAACTACGCCTAGCATAATCGGGAGTTGAGAGCTAAAACTGCGATCTGAGAGCTCTGATGCGATCTAAAGCTCAGCATGATATGATAATTGACATAAAATGTCTAGACAGTCTAGTAGATGAATTCCTAGAGAGAGCTAACGTTAGAAGCCCAAACGCACGACTTAGAGGCCTTAAACGGACAAGCCAATTTAAAATAATCATAACTTTTGATCCAGGTGAAGTTTTGGAGTCCGTAAGACATCCACAGAAAACTCGTTCTGGGCTCTACATCATGGCAATTAGGGAATCCAGTTGGGGCCATTTTTGGGGCGAAGATCCACTGTTTGGGCATGTTTTGGGGCTATTTTGAGTTTTCTACGTGTTTTTTTTTTTTTTTTTTTTTTTTTTTTTTTATGGTGGCAGCTGGTCTTGATCTAAGAACCGAGAACTAATCACGATTTGAGAGCTAATAACACGACCTGAGGCTGTTCGCAATCTCAATGCTAAGAGCTGATCGCGATTTGATAGGGGCTCAACCTGAGAGCTTGAGGCATGCGATCTGAACGATCCACAGTGTGCGATCTCAAGCAAATGAGCGAGCTTATGAGCTCGATCAAAGAGCATAAGGTGCTTGATATGAAGCGCAAGGAGCTTCATATTAATTTGAGAACTCGAGAGCTCTTTGCGATTTGTCGGAGAGCACAATGAGTTTGATCAGAAAGCATATATCATAAAGAGTTCGATCAGAAAGCGCGAAGCTTGATCTGAGAACTCGAGATCAGCAATCTAAGCGCTCGTAAGCGCGATTTGGGTGTTGGAAGCATGATATGGCCACTCGGAAGCATGACCTAAATGATTTGAACGCGTGACCTTAACGATCTTGTACGCGCAATCTGAGTGCTTGGATGCATGATCTGGCCGCTCGAAAGCGCGATCTAAATGATATGAACTCGTGATCTCAACGATCTTGAACGCATGATCTAAATGCTCGGAAGCACAATCTAGAAGCTCTGATGCGTGCGATCTGACCACACGATATGAGAGCTCTGATGTGATTTGATCTAAGAATCTGGCCACACGATCTGAGAGCTCTGATACGTGCGATCTGACCACGCGATCTGAGAGCTCTGATGCGTTCAATATGCAATCTGGCCATGCGATCTTAGAGCTCTGATGCGTGCGATCAGCGATCTGACCATGCGATCTTAGAGTTCTTATGCGTGCGATCTGCGATCTAGCCACGCAATCAAAGAGGTCTGATGAGTGCGATCTAATAGCTCTGATGCATGCGATTTGCAATCTAGCCACACGATCTGAGAGCTTTGATGTGTGCGATCTACAATTTGGCCACGCGATCTGAGAGCTTTGATGTGTGCGATCTGCAATTTGGCTACGCAATCTAAGATCTCTGATGCATGGGATCTGCGATCTGGCAACATGATCTGAGAGCTTTGATGCATGCGATCTGTGATCTGGCCATGCGATTTGAGAGCTCTGATGCGTGCGATCTACAATCTGGCCACGCAATCTGAGAGCTCTAATACATGCGATCAGCGATCTGAGAGCTCTGATGCATATGATCTGCGATCTGACGACACGATCTGAGAGCTCTGATGGGGAGTAGGCTTCAGATTTTCACATATGATAATGTGAAGATTTAGAGGCTTGCTGGAAAAACATGGAGAGTTGATGTGAATCATGCTCTCTTTCTAGCACCAAACTGTTGATGCTTGATTTTGATACCAACGACTCACACGTGCAAAATGCTAAGCTACTCTTAGAAATTACAGGTGAATGATTTACGAGAAGTGTTTATGGTGCTAAGATTACATATGTTTGATGAAACATAAATAATAGATTGACAAGAGAGATTTTTATAGTGGTTCGGATGCTTAAAGCGAATCCTACATCCACTGTTATTTTATTATTGTATGGCTATTTTTCTAATATTGCCTATAAGGTGTACAAAAATAGAGAAATGCGACAAAGAAAAAATAATAAAGCTCAAATGTTTATCTGACTCTCATATGCCCAACCAACTCATTTTTCACGAAGAGAGGTGCCCATTTATACCTTTGGGGTCAATGTAATGAGTGCTTTTGCAAGTTATCTTGACACATGAGAATCACTCCTTAATCCTTATCTTAAAATGAGATAGGATTGATATAAAATATCTCTTGAAGGTGGTTTGAGTTTTTGACAGCTAATATCACCCTATCTTTAAGTGCTTGTTGAACTCTAATTGGTGGTGCTGACATTAGTGTATTTTTGGCACAACAAGATGTGAATTAAATTTAATAATCTTGTGACATCAAACTATCAATTATTTGTCATATTGTTCACTTTTAAATTAAAGTCGTATGTTTAAACTAAAGTTTTCTACTCTTTAAAGATTGTATCAAAAATTATTGAAAAATGTGGTTTGTAAAAAAATTGAATAATCCTATGTCATCTAAACAAACTGATATGAGAACCATGTATGCTTGATATATCTTTCACTTTGATTTGTTTCACATATATCTAATTTGAAATCATTTAATCATCTAATAGCATATCAATATTTGTGAATTAATATGTAAAAGAAATTTATACATTTAATATTATTCATTTCATCATACATTTAAATAGTGTCTCGCTATATTTGCATTACATGGTCATTGTTCGATTTAACTTTGTCTTTTATGTTTTATTGTTGTATGAAACATATATTTTGCATGGTTTTAAAACCCAGGCCAGACTAGCCAGTTTGATCGGTCCGACTTGGAATTGATCTCTAATTCGTTTAACTGAATTGCTAAAATCCGTTTTAGCCATTAGACTGAATTGCCTTGAAGTTAAATTGACCTAATAGTACCAAGTCATCAATTCAACTGATGGATCAAAGAAATGATGATGTCAACATGACATCAAACACGTTATGTTAATATGACGTCAGCATGAAATTTATTAATTATTAGAGTTTTAAAATTTTATTATGTTATATTAATGTCAGCATGATGTCACCAGTTCGACCCGTTGGCCAGACCAGTGGTCAAGGCCCATTCTAGGTATAAAAACATTGATATTTAATGTCTAACTATAGTTCCTTTATAAGATGTACATTTTTCTTTTGTTATTAATAAAACTAGATGGCACGCACATGCGTTGCGCGAGTTTATTTATTATATTGTTTTTATTTTATTATTGAATTTTTATATTTTAAGAAATTTTAAACGACTATTGTTTCACAAATAATATGTCAAATATTGATTATAATAGAACATTTTGTTATTGTTCTTTTTTTTTTTTTTTAATCGGGTGGTTTTTATGTTTAAAGATTGCTGAGAATCGTTATATGATTACCATTTAGGATGTCGTTAATTAGTCCCCGTATTTGCTGCTTATTGGTGTTGATAAAATAGGGATGATTCACATGCATTCAATTAATGTATGCAGTACAGATCTTTCACATTCCTCTTTTAATTTGATAAAATGCAAGTGATGGAAGATTGAAATGGTCAGTTTGTAATTCAGCAGGAATTGAATTAATTGAATTCAATACATAGAAGTTGAAAGTCCCGCAACTTATGAAAGTGGTTTTGACACAAATAAATTAATTAATTGAAGAACGAAATAATACTGGAACATTTTAGTGATAGGAATATATTCCCTTTTCGAAGCAAAAGAAGAGTTGCAACACTTTTCTTACAACAATTTGGTAAATAATAATATAAATGAAATGACAATTTTGCCCTTCTTAAAATTAGTAGTTCCTGCATGGAATATAACCATTACTTTGAGGTCCAACAGTTAATCTTTCACCATTTTAAAAGGCTACCCAACACCATGAAATTAGCAAAAATAAAATAAAATAAAACTTGTCATCCTTTATCATCCAACCAAACTCTATTCGCCACAAAACACAAACTATTACTGGCTATAGAGTCCACAACAAAAACATGTATAACCTATCTAAGAATGTAAGTTTGCAACTTTTTGATAATAAAATATGCTTCATTGATAAACACTTTGCAATATAACATTGTTTATAAGACACAGAAAAACAAAATAAATGGACAACATATATATTTTAAATGGTTCATACTGTGTCTATGCCAAAAAAGAAGTGTTCATTAAATTATTCCGAATGTCACCCCCATCAATGCTCACTGTGACCATCACTGCCAAAGGTTGGCTGCATAATAAAGGAATCAAAACTGAATTAATTTACGTTCAGAAATAAATTAGTAATAATATGAAATTTCATAAACAAACAATGGTTTAAAGTAAGCACCTGTGAGTGGGGC